CCACTGCGCTTAGACTAAGGTTCTGAGGTCCTACACATAGCCAAAAAAACCTGAAATGCACTAAGCACCAACTGAATGCTGACTTACAGATGCTTTCTATGGAGTGCCCAATGCAGGTCATGCACGTCCTGCCCTGCGAGCGGACGGCAGCACATTTCAGTGGTACACTGAACACCTCTGCCTGCTGTAGCACAGAAGCAAGGTATGTGGAGCAGCTGTACCTCCTGTTAGACCAGCCACAGGGCTGGAGGAGCAGACAGCACGCTGCTGGCTTCCATCTCTAAACCACTGCAGCTGCAACAGCTCCACCACCCTGAAGCGCTGTGAGATGAAAGGGGCTCTGCAGTGCTCAGCCCTGAATTTTACCTCTTGATCCGTGGGCACCAGGAGCCACTCACCACCCTCTTACCTCGGCAAGTGCTTCTGCTTCTAGAGATTTCTGATCTCCAAGACTACTGTGCCTGGTGGATCCACAGGTCGATCGCAGCGGGTGGCCGTCAGACAAGGCCTTCCTGTCTGGGAAATTGATGCTCCCTGCACTGCCGAATGTCGCCATCCTGCGCTTTTCAGGGCTCTCAATCCTGCCTCTGCTTAGAGGAATTTTGTGGGGGCTGCTAGGGCAGGCGGCCGCTCGAGGAGGAGTGTCTATGCCAGGACCCAGCCCCCGGGGTGGGCTGTGGGTGTCCCCCCCGCTTCGACGGCGAGGGATAGCTGCACCGTCAGACCTCAATCTCACTCTGCAAAGAATTCATCACAAGAGCGGGTCACTGCGCGTCAGATACAGGCGTCCGCTCGCATGCTGCAAGGCAATCTCAGCTCTGGAAGCCAGACCAAATCAGAATCAACCCCTTCAGCTCCAGAAGACTAAAGCAAGAGGACAGACAGACGTTTTAGCCAGCGCTGAGAAAGGGACAGCATTACCATTTTAGTTGTTAAGATCGACATTGGCAATCCACGGGAACAGAACGTTCCCCTCTGCCCTGCCCTGCACACCGACTCTCCCTGCACGTGACAGTGACCACCTCTGTGCCTGCAGAAAAGGAGAGCTCCCTACCGGCCCATGACCCCGCCAAAGCCGTAGTCCACAAGGTGATCCGTCGGGGACTGGATGTCGTTCTTGGAGGAGGCCTTGTCATCCAGCAGCGGGCCGCTGCTTGCCTCACTGTCCGCCTTCTGGCTCAGGCTGTCAGAGAAAGCATCGTCCCTGTGGAAACGAGACCCCATTCAGGCTGCCACTGTAATGAATGGTGTGGTACTTATAACAGGAGTGGCATCTACAAAGGACAGGCAGAGCGAGCAGCGTGCAACAGCAGCTGCACACACAGACAGAGACCAGTGCTGCATCTGCATCCTGCCTCCGAGTAGCCAGGGACACACATGGTGTAGGCACACCAAGGACAGTATTTAGTGCCTGGCTATGTCAGCTTGAACAAGAGACAATCTAAGCCAACACATGGAGAGGCATACCAGAACAGATCCAGATTTCTCAAGTCATTAAAAATCTGGGAAAACCAGACCTATTTAAGCAGCTAAAGATGGACCTCATGTAGGTGGGCGATTCTGACATCCCGGGTCAGCGCACAGTGCCTTTACTCACATGTCTTGCACCACAATGTATTGGTGGGGTATGAGGCCATCCACACCGTTGTGTCTCCCTTCCCACCAATCTTCTGATGCCCGATGGTACAGGAGGAGCGACGCCCCTTTCTTAAAGGACAGCTCTCGTGGAGACCGTCCAACATAGTCAAACTTTGCTATGGCTTCAATCTGCTCCACTTCTGCAAAGGAAGAGAAACACAGACAGAGAAGCTCAGTATGACAACCATGAGAGTGAAATAAGCCCCAGAATGAGGAAACCTCACCTGAGCAGCTTCTCATCCTGCTGCCCAAGCTTCCCAAGAGCATCTTACGCTGAGCACAGACCATCTTATTTTCAGAGCAACTGATTCTTTTTGTCCTTTCAGCCATCCTAGAGTTTCTCAGAGGCTCACAAACTACAAAAAGCTGCAAACCAGATGGGGAGCAGCTGAAATTTCCCTGTGTACATATGGCATCTTTGTCTACACTCATATTTTCTTCCAATAAAGTGACTTCTTTGGTTACAGAACACCATTATCTTCCAGACTGGGATCTCACCAAGCTGTATCAGATACAACACCCAAAGCCCCTCCCCCTCCATTACATTCTCTTCAATTCCTTCCCTCACCCTGGAGACAGCTTGGCCTGAATTACTGGTGAATAACAAACGTCCCTTGGGGGGATCCCTACAGAAATGACAGTTTCAGCTCTGAACTCCTCTCTCTGCCCAGAAGGAGGTGCAAGATCAGCAGCCACCACTCGGCCAGCTCTGACTGCTATTGGAGCCACAACAAACAGCTAACATAACCCTGCAGGGATATCAAACGTTTCAAACCCCATGAGGACCAACAGCGTTGGAACAAGAGCAAAGCTGGACAAGGCAGATCAGCCCAGCTCCTTCAGATCTGCCACGTTCTCATGAGGACATGGAAACTTTCCCTGTTCCGTGCGTGCTGCCACTAACCATGGGCTCTGCACTGAGGTGCGCCCTGCTGCTCTGCTCAGAGCAGGACCCACTGAAGGACGTGGGAGGTGCTGAACATGAACTGCATCCCCTTTCGACACGATGGCAGACCAGTCATTTCCATGGACAGACTGTCCCTAGCTGAAAATATGGCTGCACCAATGTGAGCACGGCAGTGTCTGGGTCTGCCACCATGGGATCGATGCAGAATGCTCTCTGGAGGACACATAGGGAGGAGGCTATCAGAAGGGCTTTCCAAACCAGATACAATAGTGAGTTTCCCAGCAGGAGGGGTGCATACGGTGAGGGGAAGAAGGAACACGTACATTCACAAAATGAAGATGCTCTTCTCTACGCTTGCACTACAGTTAATCACCCAGAAACTCCAATCACAGCTATTATTAATGTGGCCACCCGGGCAAAAAATTGGCTGAAAGGCAGCTTGCTCTCCTTCATCTTCTCACCCTGCTCCTGGCTGTTCATCACATGGCAACCGCAGAGGTACTTTGTGCAGGCACACCTCAGGCTGCACTCTGCCCAACCCAGCTGCCTGCTCCCCCCTGCAGGCAGACCCCACTGCAGCTGGCCAGCCAGGGAGCACCAGCATTTGGCAGAACGGGAGGCATAGGGGCAAGGCACCAGCACCCAGCTACGCAGCACCTGCCGTGCAGCACCGTCCTGCAGTGGCACTGCTGCCGTGCGATGACATTTGATGTTTCTCAGCAGCACCAGCTCGATTCCCAGCCTGCAGTGAAGTCGCAGGTGACTCATGGGCAGGGAAAGGCCATTGCCTTCTCTGGCTCTGGGCACCACAGCTTGTACTGAGCACACCTCATGCCCAGTTCTGCCTGCACCCTGGTCTTGCACTCGCCTTTGTGATCGATATGAAGTCCACAAAGACAACTCCTGTACTCTTCCCTGGAGTCAGACTGCAGTCCTTGCACATCCTACGAGGAAAACCTATAAGCAACATTAACTAACATGCACATACACTGCCAAACACACAGAAACATCTGCATGCCAGACAACAGCCCAGCCTGATGCGATGAGGGGCAAAGTGCACAGTGCTTTCCTATACACACAGTCCTCCTAACACAGATCCAAGTTCCTGTAGCTCATGTGTGTGCTCACCATCATCACTGGTGTGTGGCTCCGTGCCATTGTCGTGGTCAACTTCATCAATGGTGCCTGGCTCACTGTGAGGGCTGTCGCTGAAATAAACACATGGTGCTTTAAAAGAGAGAGCAAGATTCTGTTCCCAAGGCAAAAATAAGTTGAGGAGCCCCAGTGATACTCAAAGGCGTTCTGGTTTTCATTTTAAAATAAATATCTCAGTCCTACAAAACCACAGCAAACCTTTGAACTGCTCTGAGTACGGCAGACACGTGCACCACCACAAAGTTCAAGCCCAGAACTTCATGTCCCATTGCTCATGAATGCCACTCATATTTGGCAAAATAAAAACAAGCAATAGCAAGTAAAATTTCCTATTCATTCACAGTGATCTTTTATCCCCAGCTCTTGCATACCTTATTTGTAACATCTGCCAAAAATAAAGGTAAAAGGGCACGCTGCATCTGCAGAGAGTCAAAGCCATCCCAGCACTGTACTCAGCTGCCCTGGATACTACATCTGAACTTGGTCAAAGATTTCTTCACAACTCATCCTCTCAGGAGTCTGATCCCCACAGCCCTTAACACTCAGGCAGCTGGAGTCAGTTCTGCTTATCATGAATCCTGCAAAGGCCTCCCTTTTGTCACAGATTCACTCCTAATTTGCAGCACAAGAAGATAAACCCAATGAGGGGATCCGGTTTTGCTGGGTTTTGAATGCAATGAAGTTCTGCCCCTGCTCCTTACCAGTATTCCTCCCCTCCAGTCATGCACTTCTCATAGACAGGTCCTTCCAGCTCTCTGTGGCTGGGGAAGATGCCCTCGTGGTTGACGATGATGGTTTTGATGACCTCATTGACATGGGCTTGACAGGACACCGGATCCTGCCCGTCTGGAATGTGCATCAGAGTGGGCCCAAAGCAGATGGCCAGGTTGTAGGGATCCATCATGTTCTCATCGCTGTACTGTGACAAGCTGCAAACACACGCATTAGGAGGTGTGGCATCCTCTGTCCCTGTTAGCTCAGAAAGATGTCCCACCAAAGCCCCCCCAGCACCCAAAGCCATCTTCCCCAAACACACGGCCAGGCCTCGCCAAGGAAGAGGCAAAATACAGCTCTGTGGCAATACCAATGTAATTCACAGAAAAGAAGACAGAGAGGCACTGAAATAAAGGCAGATAATGAGCAATTTAGGAAAGAAAGAAAGACTCACTGATTGAGGAAAGCAAATAGATATCTCATGACAACAATGACAGCCCGGGGCAGAGTGACGATGATTTGCTGGATCTGGTGCACCCTCTCGGTGGGATTCTCAGTTTCTGGAACACATGGAATAAGAAGTACATCTTTAAAACTCCTCAGGACTAGAGTGCATGGCACTAAAGGGACTTGCTCCAGATTTAGTAGCCAACTACACAAGGAAAACAACAGCACAAATCCTGATTCAATCCACTGGTTTACACTATGGAGTCGGCACAGAATCAGCACAGTGCTCTTGCACAGGTCAATTCCTACGTACAGCCAAGATTTAGTGTAAAAGCAAACAAAGGCATTTCCATGGTTCCATTTTTAAAATGCCTGTTAATGCATTATTTAGTTACTTATTCAGCAGTTCCTCTGTTTCTCAAAAGCTTCAGCCAATCTGGCACTGGAAAGCAGCACACCGTTTGGCGTTCTAGCGCAGATTTTAAGATAAGGCTTTTATTAGCTTTGCTCTTTCATGGGTATAAATATCAGGTCTTCCTCAGCCCTTCTGCTTAAGTTTCCCACTGGTTTTAAAGAGAATTTAATCTGAGTTGGCACTTGAAGATTCGCTTCTGCCCTTTGGCAAAGAGCACCAAAGCCTGGGGTCAGGCAGCCCTCGAGGCATGGAACAAACCACATCAGTGGAGGGCTCCTTCCCCGTGCCGGCTCAAACTCTGACATTTGCTAATCACAATGAACTTCCCTGGCCCACTGCCAGGCTGCCATTCGTTCAAAAATTCAGAACCAATTTTGGCTTCAATCCCAAACCAGAAATCTTTATAATATTTTGTTTCAGAACTTTTTTCCTTCTGAGGAATGAATTCATCACACTACAGCTTACCGGTTCTTCATTTCTTCCCTTTGTGTTTATTTAAGAATACATTAAAAATAAAAACATCAAACAAACACGGGATAAAGCAATACAACAACAGGCATCTGTTCTGAAACCCAGAGGAACAAGCTGCCTTGAAGTTCCTGCCTTTCTACGTACCAAAACGTTTCAAACTGGCTGCAATTCAGAGGATTAATGGAGTAACCAATCGCTCTCTAACACACGCATACCCCAGAATGAACCTCTGCTAGCAAAGAGCCTTTCCTACCCGTCTGCTTCCCACGCATGTTTAAGGGACGTCTCCACATAAACTCTTAGTTCCCCACAAAGCAAAAGGAGAAAGCAGCCCTTCCTTTATCATCACCCCATCGCGCCGGCAGGGAACCACGCAGCTCCCAGGGGCAGAACCCAGGAAGTTAACCCATTCTGTTTGCAACAAGAAGCTCCCAAAAGCTTACCAAATGGTGCAAACCAGCATTAACTAGGGTTGGCTGCACAGCACCAGGCACACTTCCCACAGCTCTGCTGCTGCAGAGCCCAGGGGTGGCTGCATCTGCTCATGGCCAGACGAGCTCCCTGCCTGGGGCAGAAATAGCTTCCTTTGCTTGCAGAGTTACAGGTGTGTTGCACTGTTTTACACATCAAAAGGGAAAGGCAACAGCAAATTTCAAACAGCTACTCTACAAAACAACTGCTCCTGAGAAATAAGAATACATTCCTCTTCTGGAACAAACCCATCCCTGAGCCCTTCCCCTCCAGGTATCATCTGTCTGTCTTGACATTGCTACATCTCCAGCAGCTATGCACATCTACACTGCCAGGCAGGAAGGAGCCCTGAGCAGTGACAGCTGAGCAAGGGCACAGCCCTTCAGCCCTTCACTCATCAGCCCCAGAGCACCTGCAGGCCAACAGGCAAACCATACAGCCCAACACTGCTCCCATCAAACAACGCTGTCCTGTAGCCACAGTGCACAACATTCTTCTACTGTCTCCAAGGCACTGAATTTATTCTGCCTTCTTTTCCCCAACGGGAGCGATTTCCATGACTTGCCAATAAACAAATGCTAAACAAAATCACTACAAGGTACTGTGAGAAATAAGGCTCAGCTGGGAGATCCGTTTCTTCAGTTGCACAGGAACAAGTTGGGTTGAGAGAAGTCAGGACAGAACATAGGGGTGACCAGGCTTCTCCCCTGAAACCAACCCCAACAGTTGGTTCATATCATTTCATAACGAAGCTCAGCTTCCACCTCTGCTCACATCCCAGTGAAGCCTGTTTTTCTTTGGGGCATACAAACAAGCAGCAAATACTTTGAGAACCCCTGACTCTGTGAGGTTGCAACCACTTTGCTGACTTCATGGATCAGAGAAGTCTCCTGAATAGCTATGAAGTACTGACCTCTGCTTTGCTTAGCACACAATGCTGCAAACTCTCAGTCCTAGCTGCACGGCATGCAACAGCTCAAGAACAGCTATGATCTGTGTAGACAGAGTGTGCAGGAAGACATTGCCTGCTGTGTTCAAGTGACCAAAGAGATCTCATGCAACAAGCAACGTGTATACAGCCCACTAGCCTAAGCCTGAAGTTGATTCTTTGGATTTTAGAAGAACCACAGCAAGATGTTACACCTCTGCCTTACCTCCAGCACTGACAGCGCGCATCCTCAATGTCTTTTCCTCACAAGTTCCATTGCAGACCTACAGCCCTTCTGACAGCATATGCTGCAAAGCACAGGTGTATATGCCCTGTTTATTGCTTTACTTGTCCCACCCTGTTCTCCAAGAAGACGTCATATATACTTACTTATAGTAGATACCAAATCTTGAAACCTTTCCTTAGGAAAGAGGGGGTTTTCCAGTCCTCGAAAATACAGCTTCAAGACTCCAGCCACTGAGTTGATGTCACGTTCATTCTGATCATCAGCAAGGGGATCTTCACCTGCCCAGGGAAGAGTTTCTACTTGTAGCATTACAGTCAGATTGGACCAACACCACAAGCTTTTTTCCCCTCACTTGGTAAAAACCTTCCCACAGTTCAGAAAACCCTCACGTGTGGAATGGCAATCGTGTGTTTTCTCAGCAAAAGAAGAGCTGAACGAGGCGCTCCGTAACACTGCGTCACACTCAGGCCTGCTGCAGCCTTACCTACAAAAGGCCACCGTATGTAGTTTGCTGTTGATATCTCAAAACTCTCCTGAAGAGGAGGATGTTATTAACTGATTGTACTGCATCATTTTCAGTCCACTGCATTTTCTGCATTTAAGGCAACAGCTTGGAGAGCTGAGCAGATCTGAGCTATAGTAGGTGATGGCATGAGAAGACAGGCTTGCGTGCAGTATGCAGTTAGACCACTGGAACAGACCAAACTGCTCTGGATAGTGCTGTCACTCCCATATTGTCCTGGAAACTGACCAAAGCTCCATGAAAATGGATTCTCAACAAATCATTTTATGGCTTCAGCAGCAAATGGTGTGGAGAGGATCTCTGCAGCTCTCCCCACCGCAGCTATTCTCCCCCTGGGTGACTGCCACTGCAGAGATACAAAACTAGGACAGCCAGAAGGAGAGAGCCTCCTAGCATCTCTCACAGGGAGGCTTTTATTTACATAAGGCCTGGTGCCCCAACTGTCCCAGGAGCGCAGGCAGGAGGAGCCCGGCCGACCACATGCTTTGCCAACACACCTCGTTCAAAGGAATTCTTGATGTCGTTGACTTCTACCTGTGAGCCAGGAACTCGAAAAATGCCCTGCTGCTGAAGGCCTGGAAAAGAACAATTTTTTTTGAAAAGATTTGCATAACTGTTGTCCAATACTTTCTGGTGAAGAAGAGCAGAAACCAGCAGTCAATGCACCCACAGAGAAAGGCTCAGAGAGCGAGCAGCAGACAGCCTAGCATGAGCCAGCCCTGCTCCTACTCTCCAGCACAGCCCCCAGATTAAAGTGCTGGAAGAGCTGCTCCTGGCCCAGGGCCTGAGCAAGCAATTTAACATGGATGAGTGCTAACAAGACCTAAATATTTGTCAGTCATCCAACATTACATCACAGTCGATGCCACTGTAATTATAACCTGAGGCAATACAGCAAGGGCTGAGGGCATCTCTGCTGCATTTCTCTGCTAGCTGCAAATAACTCATTACCTCTGCAGAAAGTTTCACCGTCAGTATTGCTGAATTAACTTACCATACAAATTGATGTAACGAATGCAGCTTTCTACTACAAGTGGAATGGCCTGTCCAGAATCCTTCATGAAAGAAAGAAAAAAAAAAAAGGCAAAAATTTACTGGCTGACTGATAATAAAGCTTGGGAAAAATGCACTAAAGGCTGCAAAAACAGATTTGAAAAACAGTGCCATTGAGTTTAGTAAGAGGACAGGCAAGAAAAGGAGGTGTTACACACATCAAGCCATCTAGCAGTGCTGAATACACTGTGTGCACTCGATTACTCACAAAAAGCTTTCACTGAAGTGTGTGACAAAGACTTGCTCACTATCTGGTTGAGATAGCGGGCCGATGCAACTGGATCACAGTTACTCCATTTCACAGGTGTAATGCTGAACCAAAATAAATCTTGTGCTGTACCTGACTGATGAAATAAGCTTCCAGTAACAGAGCTTACAACAATATTTCCACCTAAAGAAAGAGCCATTATCAGCAGATGCTAAAGAAAAAAAAGAAAGAAAAAGAAAAAAACCCCATTACTGTCCGTGAAATACTGCCTGCGTCTGAGCCTATGGCGGGTTCTGACTTTTCCTTCACAGCCGCCCCTTGGGGCAGGAGCTCAGAGGAACATGAGCAGTGCCTGCTGTCACAAGGGGAGCTCATGTTCCTCAGGGCTTTGTCTGGCTCTTTTTATCCCAGTACAGTTGCATCTCTCTGGTCAATTTACTCCGTCTCACAGACGGGCCTGCAGTAAATACCTGATTTCTTGTTCGCGCATTCCTCCTTCCTCTGAGAACACAAAAAAGCAGCAGAGCAGGAAAAAAAGAAGAGATTAAGCAAAGATGAGTTCAGTTAGAGGTAAGCATCTCTTTTGGAGGCCATGAACGCTCAAATGCAATGGCAGCTTAGCAAGGTCCGAGCCCAGCCCTGTGGCACCCGCCCGCCCTCCCCAGCCTGTGCCAGCACTGAGCCTGGCGGCCGGAGCAGCCCCAGCAGCACCCACAGGCAGCACCCTGCTGCAGCCAGCACTGCCGTGGTGCTCAGCAGGAATGGCTCTGACAGCACCTTTTTTAAAAATCAGCCTAAATACAAAACCCCAGACAGCTGGACAGCAGGATGTGTGCTGTGGGCCAAGGCCAGCCTTTGCCCAAACCAACACTGCTGCTCTCTTGGCTGCCAGCAGTCATACTGAGATGCACCGATCGAGCCGCTCAGCGTTTTTCTTTTCCTAAAGGGTCACAGTGGCATATCTACCCCCCCAGTGCAAGGTATTTCATCTTAAGGTTGTGGTCCCCACAACTGGGAGACACATGGGAGCTTGTAAGTCTGTTTGCTGCTTCTGCCCTAAGGCAAGAACACCAAATACGGAGGAAAATGGAGAAAATAAGGGAGTACGTCATTAAGGCTTCTAATCAGCACATTCCAGCGAAATCCACCTTGAAAATCGTGCATACTCCTCGGCAGTTTCCCCACCTCAAATCTATTATGTCGTATGAAGAAAAAAACCCCTAACCCCGCCGTGCTCCACGGGGCCCAGCAGAGCCAGGCGGTGCTGCTGCCCTGCCCTCCTCGCTCCACAGCAGGGAGCCACGGCTGGAGGCAGGAGCTCAGCACGGTGCTGTGGCACAGCGCTGCACGGCCTCCTGTGCTGCATGTGGGGCGGCCGTGATGAGCTGGGCTGCGGATGGAGCCGCACCGATGGGCTGCCGGCCGCTCGGCTGAGTGCAGGGCAGGAAAGCAGTGGGCAGATAGGACAGGAAAGCCGCCATTACATTCACAGCGTTCATCAGCTCTTACTGACAGCCAGCGAGTACCTTAATGAACGTTTCCATATTGCCGTTAAAGAGTTTATGATTATAGACTGAGAGAGGCCTAGGTCTCCTCATTTTCTGTGGCTTAGGGGGAAGACATGGGGGCCTGGGAGAAAACGGAACAAAAGAAATCAACAAAACACCAACATAAATGCAACGAATGGGTGAGATCTCAAAGGTTATGACTGAGAACAGCAGCTCAACCCAACAGAAACCCCACGGCGAGAGCTGACACATGGGCCGAGCACTGCGCACACCGACCAGCCGTGCAGCGGCTGTGCTAACCGGCGGTTCTGATGGGTGTCTCAAAGAGTCCTGGTTGATACCTCAAAGAACAAATCGTCCCCAGACAGCGGCAAAGCAGTACAGACACCGGCAACCACAACCCGAACGGATGATGGCAGCAATTTCCTTCACGCAGGATTTCCTTCATTCAATCAAGAAAACAACAAAGCTGCTGAGCACAGCTCAGCACAGCTGCCTTTACGCACAACCTGCAGACATTTCTCCCTCTCTGAGGTGTCAGCAAGTGCAACCGCTGCCCAGTGTTTGCTCTGCTACCAAGGATAACATTTTGATGTAAAATGAAGGATTTTAATACCAGCCTCCTACTTCTACCGCTTCAGCACTCTGCCAGCATGAAAAAGCACCAAGAGCTGCTGAAGTATTCAACCAATCCCTCGGTACACCCCAAACACACGGCAGCTAGCCTTTGGAGAACACCAAAGCAATCCCGTTACTGAGAAATGCACTCTGTTCTGCTCACGTTCTGCCTAAGAGGACAGTGGGAACCTCCCTCCGCAGCTACTTTCTCTCTGGGAAAGGCTCACAGGGATGTGGATGGTCATCAGTCTTTCTGGCAGGAAGAAGTTGCCAGGAACTCAAGATCCAAAGAAACAAGCGAGCCCTGTCAAAACACAGCACTGAGCAAAGCCACCCTCAGCACCACCGAACAACACAGCGTGGCACTGCACCATGAAGCACTATGACCTAGCCTGTGTCACCCAGGGACGAGTGGGCCTCACCAGCCTGGCAAACAGATCCTGAGGACTCCACTGACTTCGGCAAGGGTTACAGACACACGTTACTCTTGGAACACAGCCATGGAAAACACATGACTTATTTTAGCGTTGTGATCAGGGATCTGCTTCTGTTAATGGTGTTTGCATTCTGATTTCTCTTTCTGATAACGAAGGACATTAAGACACAAGCACCCACATATAGGAGAGAGAAAAACAGCATAAATTCTCTAAGTGATTCTTGGATCCACCCTCCTGCCCAGCCTACAGTGACCACTGGAGCAGAAATGATCACTGCAGAGCGGAGTGCCCCTGACCCTCAGCTGACAGCCCAGGGCTGCTTGCTGAGGTGCCATCTCCTCTTGCAGTGGGCAGTCCTCCTCCTCCAGCTGTGTCTGCAGGAAGGTTGCTCTGCCTGAACTCACAAGAAGGAGATTGTCTCTTGTTTGTTTTCCTTTGCGTAGTAAAAGCAAAGGCTGAAACAAAAGCAAACAGAAGCAGCAGGGAGTTGTGCCACCATTCTGCTATTTACTCCTTTGATTGTTTTGGCCTCCATCATCACCAGGCACCCACTCCTGAGAAACAAAGTAATTGAGAGCAAACTATTTCAGGTTTGGCCTGGTTTCATCAGCCAGTTCAGGAGAAAGCCCAGCCTGGGGCTCCCAAAGGACTACAGCTCAGCTCACAGGAGCGTGTAAGCCAATGCCAGGGACTTGAGATGAGAGCCCTGCAGGGCAGCTCTGCTGGGAAAGGCAGTGACAGAGGAGCAGCAGCTTGGTATCCACTGCTCTGCAGGGACCCTCCATAAGCCAACTGCCCTAGGGCACCCAGCACTGCAGTGGGCTGAAGGGCCAAGGGCAGCTCCAGGAACAAAAGGCTGCAGTGATACCTGACGATGTCTGGATTTCTTAGCCTGCGTCCCTGCTCTCTTCCCCACTCCAGGCTCAAAAGTTTCTTCTTTGTCTTGATGGCACCTTGTACTGGAAGTCCAGCACTGATCCTTCTTGGCCTGGCACAGCACTGCACTGCAGCCCATCTCCGCCAGCAGGCAGCAGACCAAGGCACCCTGCTCACCCCGCTCTCTGTCAGGAAACCTTCCTGCCTGCCTGGGCAGCCCTGCCATTACCATCTGCTTCAGCATTTCAAACATGGAATGCATGCAGCTTTTTTGCTGGTACTGCAAATTGAATTAAACATCGAAATGGGATCATAAAAAGATGATGCACAGAGAGGTACTTCACATTCTGGGGAGCCATCAGCAGGCTTTGCTGGCCCATGTCTTACTGTTGTGAAAGCAGCACACTCAGAGCAAGTCACCAGAGCTCTGTAGAAATGCTTTACTGACTGGATACAGATCAAAGACTTCTTCCTTTACATTCACCCCTAGCACTATCTCCTGCCGTAGCTGGATGAAAGCATTGGAAGACACTCTCTGTGTTACTTCGCCTAGGAGCAAGAGGCAGGAGAGGCTTTCAGAGGATGCAAAGCCTTTAAACAAACAGGGATGGTAAGCAGCAGGTGGACACGTTCACGTTGCGCTGCCTGAACACAAGCCAAGCTGTGCCTATCAGGCACTGCAATGCACTGTGCTGACATGGCACTTCCAGGCAGTCAGCTAGAAATTACACTGCAGCAACGCCAAGGCCCTGCTTGTTCTGAGCCCAACTACTCCACTGGAGGCAGTGCAGTGGGGAAGCATGTCAGCAAAGTGGAGAGCAGGGTCTGCCTGCCCTCCAGCCCCACCAAGCTGCATCAGCAGCAAAGAAAGCCACCCTCACCATGGCCAGTACAAGCCAAAGGTTATTCCCAAATACAGATGAAATAAAAGAAACTTCTCACCTGGTTGTTCCACATTCAGCTCTTTCACCTACGAAGGAAAATAAGTTCCCATCAACTCTTCATATCACTAGAAAATTGACCTAAAACACAGCTGCACAAGCACTCATGCCCCCATTCTGGCTCAGTAAGTCCCGAGTTAATTGCTTGTGGCAAAGAGGCTGACTGTGCCTGAAAGCCCTGCAGGCTGCAGAAGATGTCAAGCTGATTGCTATGCAAACCCTTTCCATATGAGGCATTAGAAGTCCAGGGCTCAGCCACAAGGGAGGGAAACCATCTTCTGTTCCCACTGACATTAAAGGTTTATTTGCAATACGAAGTCCATCTTGGAAAAAAATAACCAGATGCACTGCAGGTCCTCTGCAGTAAGTGCTCATTTACACTAGCTGGGTATTGGCCAAATTCAAATAGGAAAAGGAGAGGCTGATAAGGGCTGAGGCCCCTGGGGAGGCTGCTGAGATTATCCAACTGCCTCATGGAGGACCACTAATAGCATCTAAATACAGTGGTGTAATTCTGCTCCCTGGCTCTTCCTATGAGATAACAGCCCACCTAATCATCATCAAGCAGACTATTCTGGCTGTCAATATTCTCATTCCCTTCGTGTATTTTTAGCGCTTGGATTTCACATAAACAGCAGTATATTACCAGTGATAAGATCTGCTCATTTTTTGAAGTGCTTGTCAATCCACTGAAAAAAATACAACCATTTCACATGCTGTTTGTGCTTTTCTCCAAAGGAAGCCAATTTAGCCTTCCTTTTTTCTAAGGCACATAAAAGGAAGCATTTGGCTACACGTGCCTCCTTCCTGCTCTCCCTTGGCACCTGCAGAAAGCAAGCCTGCAGCCAATTCCTCACTGAAAAAGCAAAGAATTCCACACAAGTGTTCTGCAAACCCAGACTTCTTCCTAAAGAGAATCACTCATGCTGAAACACAGCATTCTGCATCTCTGGGCCAAATATTTGCCAAACGTCTACATAGCAGCACAATCCCATGACCTGGAAGAAATTCAGTTTCCATGTGAAAATGTTCCACAGCTGCTTTTGCACAACTCTCAGAGAACTGCAACGACTGACACCACACTCCTCCTCCCAAGTACAGCCACAACAGTGCTTGTGTGTGAGAGCAGGGCAGTCATCAAATCATTACCAAGAGATTAATCGCTTCCTGCACCGACCCCCAGGAGCCGCAGCCCCGCAGCCACCAAGCAGGCCTGAGTGTGGTGCTAACATCTGGGATCGGATCTCTGGGAAGAGCTCAGACAGGCCCGTTTCTGCAAGCTGCCTGCTCTGTCCCCACCCCGCCGAAGCCAGAGCTCAGAGCCAGATGCCAGAGTAATGCTGGCAGCACTTGTTCCCTCCCTGCGCCTAACCCCACGACTCACCTTCCCCAAGAGTCTGCTTCAGCAAGTCGTGCTTAGCCTGGAGCTTTGTGATAAGGTTACTGCCATTCAAATACTCTTTAAATTTCTGGAATTAAGAACAGAACAAGCGAGGTAGGTTAAGACTCTTGGCAATAATCACCTGAAATTGAAGTACACTTTTGCCTGGGGGGCTACTGAGGGGACACAGAGGCTGTCAGGCTCCAACAAACGAGGCGGCGGAAGCACTGCAGGATGGAGCAGGTCTAATAATCACTTCCCACTGCCCCAGCTACAGTCCTGAAGATCTTATTATTAGCCTGGTCTCCTTGGTGCTGCACCCCCTGCCTGGGAATGCAAGTTGCTCCAAAGAAAAAAGTTCAAAGCAAACTTTCTTTTGTCAGGCTTCTGAGAAAAGCCTGGAAAATCAAAGAGGTTTTCCCTCCCCTGGCGGTGCTTTGGCCCCATACACACAAGTGATGCAGCAGAGCAGCCCAGGCAGTGGACACACAGTGTTGGGCAATGAAAACCATGCAGCACGACTCACTGCACTGCAGTGCTGTGCACCCAGCAGTGCTCCAGAGCAAGTGATGTTATAGAGGAGGAGTAAGGGAGACACGCATGGAAAACAAAAGACAAAAAAAAGGAAAAAAAAAATCACAAGTCTTTGCAAAATTAAAGAAACAAGCACAACTCAAGACAAACTAACATGCTGATTTCCACCCTCCCTGCCCACCCAGAAATAATAATACCACATGAGAAATCATACTCATGTATACTTCACAAGATATTTACATACATCAACTGAGCCTATTAACCACATTTAAATGAGGGGCACTTCTGCCAAGCTAATGTCTCACTGCTTCACGAGTGATAACAGAGAACCCTAAGAGCAGTACAGGTGCACAGTACCTGACCAAAGGTGCTGCTGCCCAGCATGCACACAGCAGAGAACCCCAGTCAGCACAGCTTCCTGCAGTGCCTGTGCAAGATGCTAAAGGCAGCTTATTTCAACCCTAGGCCCAGTACAGATTTTAGCTGTGCAGACCAGAAAAGGCTCAGCTGAGGGTTCAAAACTGGAAAGGCCTCCAAAGGATCCATCAGCTGGGCCTAACTGGAGCCTGCTGCCCAGTGCTGTGCCACTCCTGCTGACTTCTGTAAACTTTGAATCAAAACTGCTTGCTGCAGTTGTTCCATTAAAAATGAGAGCAAGACAGACACTAAATTGTCATTCTCCATGTATTTCCATGCTGCTGTGAAGTACATTCCAATCCCAAACTATACAGAAGGCGAACAGGGAAAGACTGAATTGGTTCTTGCTCTTCACTAATGAGCACTTAAAATGCAACTCAGTCCTCGCAATTAATGCCCTGTGTCCTGCACCACGTGATATGAGACTCACTGTAAAATAGAACATCTCAGTCTCCTGTTGGTTGGCTCTCCTCTTGGCGATGTTTATTTTGCTCATGTAGGTCTCTGAAGCAGCTGATTTGACCGACTCAGTGGAGCGACTGTGCTGGAAGGCATCTGAAACATCAAAATCTTCCACTGTCAGCATGTCCTGCAAAGTCTGCATTGTGGCATCCAGAGTTTTTCGTACCTATCAGGCATAAAAGACAGCACGTTTTTGAAGCAAACAGGGAAAAAATGACATCTGGAGCCAAAACAACAGGCCCACAAGCAGCTCATAAGTACTGGGCTTGCCCCAGCATCAGCTGCAAAGGGAGATCTCAGCACTGCACACTCCCACACCCGAGCACAAGAAGGGGGGTGGAGGATGAGCTCTTACCTCTTCATTCTCTATCTTAAGAGTGGCCAGGCGGGACTGCAGCTGGTGGTACCGCATCAGCAGCTCAGTCTGCACAGGCTGCTGGGCACTGACTTGGCACACCTGGGTAGGAGCAAGGCAGAGGCAGGAGAGGGGTTCAGTGAGTTGCACACAGACCAGATACACGCTTTAACACCAGAAAGATTTTCTCAGCACCCACAAGTTCCTTGCAGCCCTCTCAGGCAGTGTGGTCCGGTTTCTGAGCAGCAGTGCTGTGGACCTAGCACAGAGCATTTCCACTCAGCTTTTTAAAGCTGCACTCCAAAGACTCCGGATTGCAGCAGGTAAATCAAAGTCCCAGCATCAAATCTCTTGGACAGTTTAGCTGAGGATGAGAACACAGGATTTGTAATTGGGAGAGGACAAAGAGCAGATTGAAAGGAGAAGTGCTGCTAATGAGCTAAGTGCCTGACTGAAAAAGGAAACACGAACAGCAGCAGGTGAAGACAGAGCAAAGGGGAAGAAACGACGTAAGGCTGATGGCTAAGAGGTACCAGGCCTAGACCAGGCTGCGAGGCAGCTCCCCAGCACCGAGCGCCGTACCTCATCCCCCATGTGGGGCTGGAACTCGAACTTCAGTGGAGGGCAGAAGACCTGATTGCACATGTCCATGATGGTGTGCTTGTCGCTCCGCGCATCCAGGTTGTCCACTGCATTCTCAATGATGTCCAGGCCCTCGTGGCGGGAGGTCTCCAGGTTGTATTCAGCAGACAGGTACGTCCGGAAGGTCCGTGCAAGGCTGGCATGGAACCCCAGGTCACAGCACTGTGGCACAGCAAGGCAGGGCTGAGTTAGGAACAGGTACCACCAGCACTACCATCACTGTGCCATCAGTGCACAGCAACACCGCATTTCAGGGTGCACCAACAGCTGGGCCGTGCACTACCCTGCACTGGTGTCTGGGCACAGCACAAGAATTTAATGCCCCTAGCTTTGCTGGGAAAAGACACAACTGGCTCTCAGACAGCAGAGAGCTAAAAATCACACAAAGGCATGGTTCCTCTGGCTGCTCAGCACCAGGGCAGGGCTGCACTGATGGCAGAACTCCTGCCCTGCAGGAGCTCTGAACTCTCTTCAGTTCCAGCAATCCTGCCAGTGCCTTCTGCACAAAGAAACCATTCCCTGAGTAACCCCATACTGACAGGTGCTTGAGCACAGTGGTACCAAAGGACTCTGCAGTGCATGCAAGGCCCCTCCACCCTCACCAAGAAGCTCACAAGGCCATTCCTCATGCACAGCTGATCATCCTCATCTTGGAGAACATGATAAAACTGAGCTAACTGCCTAGTGCACAGTATTTGGGCAGCAAAACCCTGTTTTTAAACTCTCTTTTTTATACAATTGAATTTAGCACATTAAGTATAGCAACAGCTCAGGGATTTGCTGCTCTGAACACCGAATCACGGCTGAGCAAGCAGCAGCTCCATCCCAACAGGTCTCCTCCCAGACTAAAAAGGACAGCAGCACGGCATCAGGCACGGCCCTGCTGCAGGCACCCAGCACAGGGATACGAGCAGTGGCTCTGCAGGGAAAGGAGGGGCACAGCGAGGCACAGCTGGGAGCTGAAGAGCAGCACATCAGACTGAGCCATGCTAGCAGGGCTGCAAGGAGGCTGCAACCCAAAACTGAGGCACATCTATTCCTAGACATAAGAGGGCTGAAGTTCCTGACAGAGGATGTAAAGCTAGATAACCACAGCTTCACCCACTGTTAGGAGTTCCATAAAAACATGCCCCCTGGACGCCCTGACTCCTGGCACAGCCGAGGCACAGTGACACACGCTGTCACCAGCGCAGCCTGTGAGCAGCAGTCACACACACGGTCTGAAGATGGCACATACCTGCAGATGAGTGCAACGCCCTGCAGGGCTGCAGCACAGAGCAATGTCCAGTGGAGGCACTGAGGGAGAACGTGCTGGTGGGCACTGTGAGCGCTGCTGCAGCAAGCAGAACTGAGCTGGCACCTGCCAGCCACATACATTACAATTAAGAAGCTCTGTTGTCACACAAAGAATGAGTAGAAAGTCCTCATTGTCTGAGCTGTAACCAAACCGCACAGAATCCCAGTTTACCCACCAGGTTCCCCTCTGCTTCTGGCAGCACAAAGCCATCTTCACGGGGCAGATGCCATTCCTCCAACTCTGCAGTGCCCAAAGGAATCACTTCTAACCAAAGGCACAGAAAGTGCCTCTGCATCAGAACATCAGCACTGACAAACTCAAAGTGAAAAGTGAAGACTCAGCTGGTGCCACGAGCTGCTCCAGCCAGAGAAGTCACCTCGCTCCTCCTGCCATGTGAAAGGACAACCCTCAGCTCACATCATGTCACACAGAGCTGTGCTCACTGGTCTGTGCTGGAATGAGCAGTGACAGCACTACAGGACTGCTCCTGTTTGCAGATCTACGGTGTGCTCTGCTTGCCCCCGGCAGGGGTAGGACTGATTAAGTGGTTTTAATCCATTATTTATCCTACTGCTATTTATCTTCTACATTTATTAGTTTAAAATAGGGACAGTTAGGAACTGGTGCAGCTCTGCCTTCTGCAAACAACACTCAAAAAATGGTTCTCTGGGGAATCAAAGTGGGGGAAGTAGAGTGCAAACTGGACACAGCACCGTGAGTCTCTGAGGAGGTAATGCATGACACGTGTGGAAAGAAATGCTACTGAGATCCTCCCTGCAAACAGAGCTCGTGCTGTAGCCAGCAGTGTCCAACACTGACAACCAGGCAGCACCTCGCTATGTGTCCTGGTGCTGAGGCTCTGCACTGCGCTAGCACTGCATGCACTGCTGCCTGGAAGGGAAAGGAGCATCAGCAGTCACACTGCTCCCTGAGAAACACACCAAGCATGAAGGGAAAAAAAAGAAAAGAAAAAGGATTTCAGCTCCCAGCTCCAGAACAAATGGCATTTTCTTACTCTTCTCATCCCCCTTCGATGGAAAATAATTTAGAAGCACAAATAACAACCCTTAATACTTCTGCAGCACCTTTCATCTGAAGAGCTCAAAGCTCTTCATACGTTAATTCATTAATTCTCTACAAGGGCTGGAAGTACTGCAGTGCTACCCAGAGAAACAGTGAGACCCGGGAGGTCACACAGCTCTGCTCAGAGCGCAGAGGCAGCCGCACGTATCCTGCCCTGCGCCCAGCACAGCTGCCAGGCCGGGGGTGCAGAGCAGCAGCTCGGGGTGAGTTGAGGGTCCCTCCCTGCCTGCTCCCCCCAGAACTCTGGTACGGCAGCTCTGCAGGAACACAAAGTTCTCGAACAGCAAGGCTACAGCGGTGCCAGACCTCACAGAAAATGAAGTGCCTTCTGAAGCACTGATTCATCTCACTGTTTACACAGAAGATATTTAACTCATTTTAAAGCATGAAGTAATGCTTTACTAAGGTAATACTGTGCTTGGCCATGCCAATGCTGGGTGCCAGCACCTACCTCGCACCTGGACCTACCTTCAGGTCTTCAGAGAAGTGGTCCAAGAAAACACAGTGCTCAGTTCGTGGCCACGGAGAACAGAACAGCAGCAGCCCTACAGCCACCACACGTCCCTCAGAGCCATCAGCACGGAAACAAGCCTGGCCACAACAGCACCCCAGCACAGGTACGGGAATGCCTGGCCCAGCGCACTGGGACACACCAGAGGCTGCACAGCACAAAGCTGTGCCTGCAGCCCCGCAGCCCCTGCACAAGGCCAGCAGCACAGGGCTGCTGAGGGTGGGGGCACAGCTGCAGCCACAGCCCAGAGCTGCCACCGACCCCTGCACAGCCGCTCCATAACAACATGAGGACAGCAGGTCTGGGGGCAGAGCCAGCTGCACACCTGCCCCCTGCAGCCAACCCACGGCCGTGCTCCCTGCAGGACGAGGCTGTGTGCCCCTGTGCCCACACGGCCCTGCAGCTCCAACACCACCTCTCCCAAAGGAGCAGGGCTGTGGCCATCGGGTTCGGTACCTGAGGGAGCACTGCAGAGCCCCCAAAACCCAATTCATTCTCAGCCAAACACGGAGCTGTGAGCGCACAGGGATGGAGCAGGGGAAGAACGGGGCCCTCTGACTTCCATAACCAACTCTGAAGCACGAGGCTGGATCACCTCCAAGCAATGCTCCTTCTTGCAGCACTGCAGAGCGCAGCTCCACGCGGCCCCTTCCAAACCCCGCTATGGTAATTACCTCTGCAGACCCAGAAGGGGTTTCTTTCCAAAGGATTTCTGACCCACATTTCACTCTGGCCCTTAATCTCCCTATTGCACTCCTCTCCCATGTACACCTTCTTAGGCCCTTTGTGCATGTGTGTTGGTTTGGGTTTTTTCCAAGATGAACTCATTGGTAAATTAATCTCCTAAAGGACATTGGGACCTTGAGGCTATTCGTTCACGCTACTGGGAAAAGCACAGAAAGTGTCGAGAAGGAATTCTTCTCTCCCAGGGAACATCCTGTTGCCTTTTTGTGCCACACTAACAAGGTTCATCAGACAAAGGCTGCTCACAGCCCTCAAGCAGCAGAATTTATAGACTGCACGATACTCCAAGCCATAAAACAATCTGCAAGTGGGCTTCATTAACCTAGCGAGACAATTTCAGTGTCTGTGGTGTCTGCATGAGGAAAGAATCGTTCACTAGGCGCAAACTTTGGGGAAAAAAAACACATAGTTTTGCTGTATTATTATAGCCAAGACAGGCAAAGTTAAAGAGATGAGTGCTGGCCGGGTTCCGTAGTTTAACAGAGCACGCTAAGAACAGCTTAGAAAAAAGCACTACTATTGGATTATCACAATTTAAGGCGTGCTGACAAGCAGGGAGTATGGCAGCTTTTTTATTAACCACCTGCAAATAGAAACAGAACGTGAATTTACTAAAGCAGGGCACTGGTGTGAGAACAAAAGGTGTCCAACTCCTGCAAGAAAATGGAGCCAGTGCAGCTCTCCCCTCCCCTACAGCCACATCAGCCCTGCTTTGAAAAAGATCACACAAAGCCAATTCTTTTTCTCCCATTCATTCCCTCACTCTGCATGAGGCTCAGAACACAGCAGGTCCGTCCGGATTCTCATCTGCTGCCATTGCCACCTCCACAGGGCCAGCCTGCCGTGCCACACAGGCTGCCCACAGGTCACTGCAGAGCAGAATTCTGCTCTTAGCTCTGGCCCCAGCACATCCTGCTCCTCACTGCATCACCACCAGCAGCTGCAGCCGCCTGGGGCACAGCAAAGCACTGCTGAGCAGCACCAGTGCCTCCTCAGGCCTCAGTTCTCTGCCCAGTGAAAGCTGTCCCTAAAGCACATTTCTATTCCCTCCAGTCCCACAGCAGGGCGGCTGCCTGGCTCTGCTGCTACAGCTACCAGTGGCTTTCCCAAACTGCTTCCCGAGCATCACTTGACCTTATTAAAAATAACAATGTTATCAGCATTTTCTAGTGACCAAACCTTTCGACAGTAATTTAACATCCCTACGAGTTCCCTTCCTTTACCTGTTTGTTTGTCCCAATGCAGCAAAAGCTCCATGCACGCAGACACAGTGGCGGTTCAGGGCGATGTGGGGGAGCTGACTGACTGCCACACCGCACCCTGACCTGGTGACATCCTCTGTGTGAGCCTTCAAATAGCACACAGCTACTGAACAGAGAGCTCCATGCAGTGGAAACAGCTTTATCTCCATTCCACATTCAAGGCCACAGAGATTAATTTGGTCACACACTTACCGACAGAAACAAGAACACAGGTGCCTTAATAGCAACACAATTCTTTTGAGGGAAGAGGCAAATGATGCACTTTAAGCCCAAATCTAACCTGATACGCCTCCCTATTTTTCTCCTTCCTACAGAAGGACCAACGAGGCCATTGGACACAGCAGGGCTCAGCCCCTCCAAGTGTTTCATCTGCCATCACAGCCGGGCCCTGGGAGCACAGCTCGCCCTCACAGAACAGCTGGGGCCTCATCTCTCACCGGAGTGGGAGATCAGCAGAGGCTTTGTTCTAGCAGCCTCATTTTGCAGTGCCGCCGAGGGCATAAGAAACATCAAGGCTGTGCCTAATAGCACAGAGCCCTCTGGGATTTGGGGAAACGCCGCTGGATCAGCTGCTCCAGAGCTCTGACTGTTCAGATTTACGTACAGATAGAAACTGCATGCGGCAGCTCTGCTCAGTGTGAATGCTGTGCAGGAGCTCCATACCACGCGGCCCTGCACAGCACAGCAGCTGCACTGGGCATGAGGGCAAAACTCACGTCCTCCGCTCACAGCCTCTGCTGCACCCCATGAAGGACCAGGACGGCACCAGACAGCAGCTGACTGCACCAACCTGGTGTCTGCAAGCAGCACGAGCACTTGAGTGAAAGGCACTATTGCACCATCTCATTAAGTTATTAAGATTGAAATGCTAACTTTAAAATCACAGCTAAAACACTTGTTTTCTTCATTTTCCTTCACAGAGATTACATACGGACAGAAAGCACAACGTCGCTGCCTGCAGGGGCACCAATGGAAAGCATTACATGGGATCCCTTTCCTCTGGAACTTTCTGAAACCTTCTGTGCCATGCTCTTGCAAACATTTGTACAGAAGTCTGTTCAGATGAACTGCTCTCCCTTTGGGGATTTAAAATTAGCACCCACGTACAGCACACGCATCCAATATTTTGTTTCCATTGGTGACCAGGATGTGTCATTAGGGGAATTTAGTTGCACAGCGTCAAAAATGTTTTAGTTGAAGTCCCCTCAAGGGATTTCCTGGAGTGTGGAAGAAAAGCCATCTGCTGACTGTAGTGGAAGGGTCAGCACAAGGAAATAAAGTTGGAAGGAACAATATAAGCAGCCAGAACTGAACTGGAACTCATCGCCTCTCCAGGAAATCAAAGGCTCAGAAACTCCACAAAAATAAGGTGTTCTTTCTTAAAGAACAAAAAAAACACAATGAGGGAGAGAAGCGTGTGTGTGAGGAGAGAGAATGGACCACAGGAAGAAAATGCCTTGGGTAAATGAAGGAGTTATCACACCTCATTGCTTGACCGTTTTCATGTTTGAGTTACTGAGTATTCTTTCTAACCAGGCTAAACTCATCTGCAGTAATAAAGAGAATAAGGACATACTAAGAATATATTTCACCATACCTTAAAATCTTGACATCCTCAGTGGGTTTTGCATCAGACTTATTTTAATTAATGCTTGGAAGAACACATACACATCAGTTGGTTAGAAGGAGATAAACTCTTCGACACATTTTTTAATTATGCATTCAGTGATTAGCAGGCCAGAAGGCCAACCTGGTGCTCACAGGTGGGGCAGTGATCTGCTCACTGAGCTGCCTTAGCAGGAAGGAGCTGCGCAGTGCAATCTGTACCACTGTGAGGACTCCTACTAAAGGAAGAGATGGAAAACTCTCTTCCTGAATCATTTAAAAGCAGCTCATAGGAGTCCCTGATACACACACGTTTTCAATTCCTGTCAGTTCCACAAAAGCTGCTCCTGGGAGTTGCTGCCCTGAGGCAATTTTCTACAAGGAATGTTTTGGATATAACTCAGCAGGAGCCTTTCCTAGAAAGGGAAGCACTTCCATCTGCTTTACTGCCACCAGCGCTCAGGAGTGCTCAGCACCTACCCAAACTGATAGAATCTGCAGATGCACATGGCACAAAGAACAGGTTTCTGTTTTCAACAACAAAAACGAGGATGCATGTAATTTTTACGAGAGATTATCTATTTCAAATGCAGACCAATGGCTGGGCCAGGAGGAAACCTGAGGACCACCTGGTTTGCCCCAAGGCAAATTCTACTCAATTCTACAAATTCTACAGAGCACGAGCTCTGGACTTCAAAAAGCTCCAGCTGCAGGAAACACTACGTGCGAGAGCCACAGAGAATGAGGCTGCCATTTAATATTGAAGGAAGCACCATTTCTGCACGATTCCTAAGCCAAAACCAACATACAGTGACACCCAGACCACAGCCTGCTTGTGATGCCACACAGAAGATACACGGAGCTGGCTCCAAGTCTGGGCTCCACTGCCTGTGCACTCCTGAAAGCACTGCTATGCATGTTGGCTCATACCATGCAGTTAAAACCAAAACTGTTTCTTTTTTCCAGACAACAATAACAGAAGCTTCAATATAGCATAAATATAAATTGATTACTTTGTTGTGTGGTCATGCAACCACCATAAAATTCAGCAGGCTGAGTACCATACAGTGACAGCTCCAGTGCTGTTCATACACACCTACCTCAGCTGAGAAGGAAGTCACATGCATGCATGCAACTGCAAGGGGAAAAAAAAATGGGGAAAAATCCAAGCTTACAGCACATTATCAGGCCTAAGTGAGCACATTTTAAAGTCCAAACAAATTCTCCTTCATTGCTGTCACGTGGTCACAAGTGCATTTAGGAACCAAACCACGTCTAAGATTGAGCTGTGCGCTCATCAGTGCCAAGCAGGCAGGATGCATGCAGAGGAAGCACTTACATCAATGAGGTCAGAGACATCGTGGATATAGTATTTACTGACAGCTGCGTTGGTGGCTGCCAGGTTCAGCAGGTAGTCATTCCTGGCTTTAGTACACTTCAGCTTGTTTTCAGAGTATTTGGCTTGTCTCTGAAAAAGCAAAACGGAGCATTAGAGCCTATACAGGATGTTCCTGTCACAGTCCCTCTTGCCTGCAGGGCCCCACAGCGCCCCAGAGCCAAGGTGTGACACATGAATTAATGAAGTTTGGTATCAGGTATGAAAACAGGCATCTTTGCCAGGCTGGAGGGATCACATCTGGACATCCCTGGTACAATCAACCAATGCACAACAGGCGCATTCTGCTCAGACGTATCTACAGCATCCCAAGCACAGCTGTTCTTCCTTTATCTGTGCATTCATGGAAGCTTTGGCAACAATCACAACTGGGGGGCCAAATTTTCCTCCCAGATATGCTGACATGCATCTGGATTTACTCCAGGTTTAAGCAGCTGTATCAAAGTGGAATCTGTCCCAGAGGCCCAAACTCCAAAATTAAGAACAGTACCCAGAATTCTAAACTGCAATAGCAGATGTGCTTGGATTTGGGGCATTTGCTCAGGAAGATCACTAGCCTGAAGGTTTAGCACAGAAGATCAACCCTTCCCAGAGGTCTGCTGCATGACAGCGCCCCAGTGCTGGGCCGACACACACGCTTAAGAAGCTATTGCTATTCTCAGAAATTAACAGAAGAATTAATCAGTTTTAAAGATCCCAACACCCAGGGAGAAGCTGAAGCTAGAGTGGTGTCACACATTTTGACTAGCAAACCATCCAAGGGCTGCACCTTAAATCCCAGGCAGCCTATACATGAAAAGCACTTATATATCCAAGACATTTTTATTCTGTCTCAAGGTACCCTGAGACAGCTATAGGTCACTGTCAACAGCAAAACACCCGAGTGCAGGTACAGCTACACTTCCTAATGTCCTCCAGGGAGACAGGAGCAGCTGCACAGAAGTGAAATGGATCAGAGCTAAGCTCCCACTGCACAGGCAGCCCCAGACAGCCCTGGGCTCCAGCCTGGCTCCTCACCCCACGCTCACCTTCTCCTTCATCTTCTCAATCTTCTTGACGGAGCTCCGCCGCTGTGGCCTCTCCTCGTGCCGCAGAAGGTTCACGCTGACATCCCCTGACTTGTTGAACTGCTTTTCCTCCTGCTTCTCTGCCTCCTTCAGCTTGCTCTCAGCACTGATGCTTTCTGCATGATACATGTGGTAGGTCTTCATCACCTGAGGGAACAAGACTGAGTGAGACAGCTGCTCCACAGCCAGGAGGCACCAACATGCGAGGGTAGAACAACAGCTGTGGCAGTGGGAAGCTCAGTCCCCACTGTGCCAAGGCTGTCTGAGGCTACTATGGCATTAAGAAACAAAAAGGGAGCAAAAAGCCCCAGAACAAGTCCTGTTTTGAAACAGCACAGTGCTGGCATTACAACCACCATGCACTGCTTCCCCACTGCAGCAAGAGCAGACGGCCATGCCTCCAGCACATACTGCATTAATGGCTCATCTTCCTACAGGGAGATGAGAAATGTCCTCCAGTGCTTGGCAGATGGGATTGGGGCGTCCACAACAAGAGACTGCGAGGAGGACATGATCAGCCTGACACCACTTTGGACCCAATCCCTCTCTTCCTGCAACTGAACTTGCTAAACCAACAGTGTGACAGTGCACATCCCTGCTCTGCCATCCCAACCACAGATTTCAGCTTGAAGGTGGAGGAGCTGCAAGTTCAAGCAGAAATGGAGTTTTTCTCCCATCACCCCGGAATTCCCATCTCACTGCTGCCATAAGCACAGTCAGTGACAGGTAGAGTACAGCAACATCTCTTACTGTAAACCCAACATCACCACCAGGGACTGGACACACAGCACCGATCTGCTGCAGGAAAACTCACAGCCTCCACTGCAGCATTTTGTTTTGGATACAGAAGCCCAAAGGGCACAGTCGTGATCATTTTAATAGAACTGGCAAGGGGAACACATCTGCTCTTCTCTCTTTATGTCTTTAGTCACACTGTCCCCTTTTATCATTTCCCCTCGGGATCTGGATGTCTCAGTTCACATTGCCCTGACAAGGCAGAGGGCTGGCTTCTCACTGAAGATCAGAGCTCTGGCAGAACACTCAGGCACTCGCAGGACAGGACAGCCCAGGCAGAGCTGCAACAGAATTCCCCTGAAACGGCTGAGGTTAAGCACAGCTCCAGGTAGCAGGTAGATGAACACTGAGCCCATTGCCCTCCAGCTGCTGCAAGGAAGCCTTTACGAATCCCTGGGATTTATTTTAGGCAGCTGCAAGGAACAGCAAGCAAAGGCTCCTGCCCTTTTCTGAGATGGCCTGCTTCAAAATTCTGCATGTTTGAGCCACATATTCCAAACTGCAGTTTCTGCAGTGAGCACCATAGCATGCACACTGAACAGACTAGGCTGAAATGTATTTAGTCACTTTGGCATAAGCTGGAGACAGCAAACTGCAGAAACCTGTAAAAAAACTACACAGTTTCTGCACACTGACCAGAATTACCCTCTCAAGGCCTTACAAAGCAGCCCAACCCAGCACACGTGTCCTACATACAAGGCTTGGCCACAGGTAGAACAAACGCTTTCCTTGTGCTGCCTGCCCATGGATGACATCTCACAAGAACAAGCTGTGCCCATTGAGGCAGAGGTCCTTGTTCTGCACCTGGTTCTGTCGGCAGCCAGGGTTACGAGGGTGCAGCTCCTGGGCGCACGGCCTGCTGCCATGAACACAACAGCTCAGCCCTGAGATGTCCCACAACAACACAAGCACACAGGATCACCCTGTAGCCAGGCATGCAACCAGGCCTCTTCTACCTGAAACCGCAAGGACAGGAGATTAGGGACTGCAGGTGAGCTGGTCAGTACCGAGGGACTTAAGGCAGTCCTGTTTGTCTGATAAGGCCCAACTTTTCACTCATGTTTCACTGTAACTTCTGAGATAAGCATGCCTCTCCCCACTCTCCCCCAGCAGGATGATGTAACTGGTCTGCCATCTTAGTAGCAACGTCAGCTCAAAGGAACTGCAGAGCTCCTCCAGCCATTCCAGTCTGTCTGACCATTCAGACACCTCTGCTCTGCAGGTGGGAGCAAAGCAGTAAACACAGTGCTCTCTCTGTTCTCGTGGAAACAAGTTTTGCCACAGACTCCAAGAGGACCAAAATTACGCTGTTTTCCTTGCAGTTCCTTTCCCTGCAGTTCAGCCCCCAGAATGCTTCCGATGCTCACAGACGCAGTGGTGTCCCTCAGGTGATGCTGCTGTCCCAGGGCTGTGCTCTGAGTGCGCTGCTCCACAGGCATCAAGGCCAATCCAGCCCTTTTAGTTTTCTGCTTGCTATGCATCTGCCTTCCTGCCGCTGTAATTAATCTTAACTAGTCACTGTCATTAATGCAGCTTGTGACATTCAACAATCGACAATGCAATCCCAGATCTCTTGCAGGCTTTTTATCCAACCTGGCTGCCCACCCACGCTGCAGGTCTCACAAAAGCTGTCCTTCAACAACCAATGCAGAAACAAACCTGCAAAGAGAAGTTCTGTGCCAGAAATTCCAAGTGGTATCACTCACACTCTGTAGCTTAGGTCTATTTTTCAAAAAAGTGGAATAAAATGGTAGTTTAGGTATAAACCTTCTGCTGTGTCATTTGTGTAACAGAAGCATACAGACAGGAAGAAAGCAAATACATCATCTCTTTCTTCCAGGAGAAAACATTACACTTCATCACTGATCCCAAAATGCAAAATTAGAACAAAAGTCTGTGGGGCAAGAGCCAGAAGCAGCACAAAGACTTTTACTATGGCAACCCACTTGCCCAGAATAACAGCACTGACTTCAGCCAGGGCAGTGGAACCAAAGTGCACCTCTGAGCCGGGAGGTGGAGCAGAGCACACCCAGACCAGCGCCCTGTGAAGGTGTGCTCAGCCAGAACCCTCCAGCCAGCACAACATCAGCAGGTCAAGTTCCAGCCACAGATCAGCTCTGCCAGCTCCGAGCGCAGCCTGGGAGCCATCAGTGTCTGGCCAAAAGCACCAGCCCACAGAATGTCAAGAAAGGTCCGGAGGCAGCACTGTGCACAGGGCACAGCAGGCAAGGGCCTCGCAGGCACCAGAGCCACACTGCAACACACCCAGAACATCTCATCTACAAACATGTGGACGGCGCCATCCACTGCCTGATGAAGACACAGAAGCTCTTCACCACCTGACAAATGGAAATTCCCCTCCACTTCATCGAAGCAACGGGTGAAACATTCCTAATGAACAGAACACAAGGCTGGAGTGCAGCAAGGCACAGGGCGAGAGCCCCCCGAGGTGCCTGCAGAGCCTGACAGACAGTTTGCTCTGACAGTCACACTGCTGTGCTCCTGCACTGCACACAGCGTGAGAGCCAGGAGTGCACGCTTACCGTGTACAGCTCATTGGTGACTTTCAGGAGTTCTTCATGCATCTGTAAGCCAATTTCCTTACTCTGGAAGACAAAAAGAATAAGAATTGACACTGTCATGCTCACAATGTGCATTTCTGAAAGCAAAATACATTTTTGAGGGAGAGTAAAATCACAGGACTTTCAAATATTCCACACACACCTCTTTCAATCCTCTCCTGCCAGCACATTTCCCAGGCCCACCACCACGGCACCAGAGCCCTGCAGGGCCAGCAGTCAGCAGGGCTGGCAGCAGCGAGCCACCAGTGTGTGCGTGGTGGGATCTGGGGCCTTGGTACCCAATGGTGTCACGAGACAGAGTGAGAAAACGGGGCCCACAGGAGTGCCCAGCCCCAGGGAGGTGAGCTGAGCTGACGGCCTTCCCCGACTCATCAAGCCGAGGCACACAGTGGCCTGAAGCAATCATAGAATGCCTTGGGTTGGAAGGAAACTCAAGGATCATGAATCTCCAACCCCCTGCTGCATGCAGGGCCACCAACCTCCACATTTAACACCGGCCCAGGCTGCCCAGGGCCCCATGCAGTCTGGCTTGAACACCTCCAGGGATGGACGGGGCATCCACAGCCTCTCTGGGCAGCCGTTCCAGCACCTCACCATCCTCATAGTAGCAAACTTAAGCAGTAAGGAGCAATGGAGGAGCACTGCCTAGAAGTACACAGCCCACAAACAGGGAAGCTGGCCAGGAAGCAGGAATTGTTTTCCTCTGCCTTTGTAAACTGCGTGGCGAACCCAAGTGCAGTGAGGCACGAAGCATCTGTCCCAGGCCTCCCAGCTCCCGTGTCCAAGAGAGTCCTGCTCATCTCCTGGAAATGCGTTCACACCCATTCCACAGAGAACAAAACATAGCAACGTATTTAGGCCGCTGATAGCTAGCTGCATTTTTCACATTGCTATCATGCCTGCAGGGTTTTCCTTTCCTTCTTTCATTTCTCAGTGCAGTGGGTGGACCTTAGCAGCACAGCTGGGTTTGGAAATGCCTTTCTTCATGCCTTGTGCCCCCAGAGATCTGCCCGCACCACTCCTCTGCCTGTCACAAGGCTTTTCCACTCTTTGCTCTGCAGCAGAGTTAAAAAACAACGGCACATTTTAAGTACAGATATTATTTTTAAAAATGAAATGGCTTCACAGCATGAGAAATGCCTCAGGGGCCTTATTTACAACACTGCACAAACCCTGTCTAATGTCCTTCCTGCTCCAGAAGCTGCAAAGGCAGCATCAATGGGGCTGCCAGCCCACAGCTGGGCTCCATTTTTTCCATCTCTAAACATTAAAACCAAAATACAGATGGCCTCCTCTTCCAGTCTGCCCATGACAGCGACATTTAGAAATAAGGGAAATCAAAATGCTGCTTTAATTTGCTACAAATCCTTAACAAAACAGAACGTATAAACACGAACACACACAGTACAGCAAATCCTCATGCTGTTTGGGAACTGCTGCACTTTTATTTGAGGTCTGTGCTGGTGCATGCATCACCCAACCCCAGCTTCCAAGACAATAATGCAGATCAGCACACACCATTCCATTATCATCGTGCAGTAGCCCAGGATGGAGCTGGAATTCCAGCAGCCCACTGGGAACACCACGTGCCCTGCTCCACACACAGGCTGCAGCCAGCAGGGAAGCAGGGCTGCCTCACAGCCAGAGCAGCGCATCACAGCTCGACTGCCTACTTTTCGACAAAACCCCATAACTGAATGTGGTTGAGTGCTGCACTCCTCCCACAGCCACGTCAGCACCACACTGACTGCCCTGTATAACAAAAGCAAACACCTGTGGGTACCCTAACTGCCTCTGTATGCACTCCTCAGCTGCAGCATCACCTGCCACTCTGTTTTGATTTGACAGGTTTATTACAGACACCCGCTGCCAGATGGCCAACTCTGCGCTTCAGAATAAGAATTATCAGGACTCTCAGCCCAAACACTTCACGTTTTGCTGTCACAGCAGCCATAAGCCACCATCCCTGCTCTGCCCTCAGCGCTCACTGTCACTGCTCTGACCTGAGCCGGCCACAGCATTGTGAAATGACTGCACCACAGTTACATAATGAAGTTTCCAATTTCACAACCACAACAGTCAAAGTTCAGCAAGCTCAGGATAAAGCGCACTGTGAGCTTTGAAGCCCACGGCCTCTTTCTCTCCACCCCCTTCCACTGAGCCCATCTACTCCTGCGGTGCTGTGCTCCCCCAGCACAGAGCAGAGCAGCACCGGGGGGCTGCACCCAAACCCAGCAGTGGGTGCTGTGCAGCTGCACGGCTGCTGCTCTCTGCCTCCCCTGTAATTATACCACAAATCTCTTGGTGGAATCTTCTTGGCTAGGAAACATTAATTATAACTTGAAGATATGTTTAAACTAAGCGCAGATTCCCCTTCAAAACACAAAACAAAGATGGCAAGTTAAGAAAAAAAACCCAGTTTATTTCAGATTCCTCAAATAATTCCATGCATCTTGCATATAAGGCAAAACCGTCCCATTGGCTTACTGGCTGAGTGAAGACACAGAATTCTCATGAAAGCCAACTAGGAAACCTATATATATCACAAGTTTAACGTCAGATTATCAATAATTAGAATTTAATGCAAAGAGTGAAGCAAGAAAAGTACAGGATAAGGGCGCACAGTGTCACAGCTCACTGCAGCTATCTGGGAACCAGCACCACAGTACTGGAATTCAGGCCCTCCACAGCCAGCTCTGACACGCAGCTCCTGCTCAAACTGCAGCACCAAGCAGAGGGCAGTTAGCAGGAGGTGCTGAGTGCCTGGACAGCTGCTGAGAAGCCCCAGCCCCTCTGCCCCCACCTTCAACTGCCTGGTCTTGGGACTCTCATTCGGAGCAAGCACCAGAGCCAGCAGCAGCAGGCACCACCACATCACAGGGAGCATCCAGGACGTGAGCTGCTTCAGCAGGGATCTGCACGGGGGCCTGTTGGACCCCAAGTCCCAAGCGTGCAGAAGATGAGGGCAGGGGCACCCAGCACTTCCAGCTGCCCCTCCTCTGCAGGAACTAGAGCTCGGGTCCCAAAGCGAGCTCTTCCCACAACCAATGGCCCAGCTGTAGCCACTGTCCTTGCTTTCTTGTGCAGCCCAGGGGGAGCCCACAAAGCCATCATTTTCAAAGCTAATTTTAGACATTTAAATAGAGCACAAAGAAATGGCTCGGTTCCTGTTCACATGAGTCTCATTGCCGTGGAGGGACCACAGGTGTGCACTGTGTTTACAGACCTACTTCTGTGCAGACAGTACCCAAGAGCCCTGCAGCCAACTGATGGGGACCAGGGTGAGCAGCACTTGGCTCAATAGCATCAGAGCCTCTCCTGGACATGGGCAGGTGAGAGCTGACAGATTCACCTCACCTGTCCCAGTCCTGCTGTCTGCCCTTTCTGTAATAGAAAACTGGTGTTTATGTATTGCAAACAAAGCCAAAATGCCACGCAGTGGCTGAACTGTCAGGCACCATTCCCCAATTTAGCTGCTGCTTTATGCCACTCACTTCAACCAAAGGAGTTCTCAATGGAACAGCAGTAACTTTGGCTCTGCAGGTTTGTCCAAGTTCCTGTGCTGAAGACAAAGTAGCAGGAAGAAGCAACACAATGCCAGCAACAAAGAGCTCTTGTTTCAAGAAACAGAACGGAGCTTCCTTCCAGACAGACACCGCTTCATTACACCTCCAGCTGGACCCTGTGGGACACGAGCACACTGCCACAGTGCATAACAGCAGCCTGGGAGCACTGCAGCACAGCTCAGACCAGCAGTGCTGCCTCAGCGTTGTGTCCCTGCATCAATGTTCTCTGCTCTGTTTCCAGCAATGCCTTTATACATGCTGCAGCTCTACGAAGGTTCTCCGGGAGGAGGAGTTTCAAAAACCAGCTGCACAACATGCCTCATGTTCCATCCCACCAAACCTCATCAAAACCCTGAATGCCACCAGCATTGTCCTGAAAGCCAGCCCTCACCAAGTTCCAGCTCCCCCAGGGCTGCAGGCTCTTCCCCTACTTCACAGCGCTCTGCGATATTAAAAAGCAGCGGACAATGAGAGGAGGGGTTGCATTTTTCCCTGCAAGGCTTCCTCCTTACTTTCAAAGTAAAGAAGTCATCACTTACAAAGCCAAGAGGAAGCAATCCAGCTGTGGAAAACATGGAAGGGACACAGCAGCCCCGGCAGCTGCTGGAAGGGCTGCGGGGCACCCGGGGTACAGCGTGGGAGAGTGGAGCTGAGCGAGGCACAGAGCAGTCTGGGCAGATCAGCTCAGCACTCAGCACCTCCATTGGCAAGTTAGCATGGCAGTGATCAATTGCTTCTCGATTATGCACATCCTCATACCCCAGATATTATGTAGCTGCTGCTTCGCAGCAATTGTTTACATTTACATAATGAAAGCACAAAACAAAACCTTCCAGTTCCTCCGTGTAACCGCAGCATGTCACAATCCATTAATAAATTCTAGATGGGAGGAATTAAAAGTGACATCTCTGGAAAATAATGTTACCTTAATTTACCATCAAAGAGCAATCTGCAGCAAAACCAAGCAGCTGAACCACATCTGTGGCTGCCTTTAACCCTTTGGAGCTGGCTTGCTCGTTCTGCACCCACATGGCAGTGTCACCAGCAGTGTCCCATGATCTTTACTCATATTCAAAACCAGATCAGATGAAATACTGAAGGACACCTACTCTGAGCAATCTAGCACCAGCTGCAAGGCTGGACCTGATGTCTAATAAGCCTTTTATCAGGATGCTCTTACTCCCACAGACGTGCTTCTCCACCAAGCACTGCTACAGAGCGCAGCCCCATATTCCACTTCGAGCACAGTATGTAATAGGTTAAGAAAGCAACCTTGCAGGGGGGTTGGAATGAGATGATCTTTAAGGTCCTTTCCTACCTAAGCCATTGTATGATACCCCAAAAAGTCAACCTCCCTAACCCCATTAAGGACAAACGATGACATCAAACACCCTTTTGGTGATTGAGCTGATCACTACTCCCAAGGACATGCGAGTCCTGCTACAATTTAAGCCTCCAGGGACAAATGCAAGTGAAATCACAGATCCCCGGGACTCAATTGCAAAGCTTCCCTCTGATTAAAAGCAGGCACTGGCTTTGGCAGGCTGCAGACAGAGCTGCTGCTACTTCACCTCTCTGAGCAAAAGACGGGGGAGGAAAAAGTAAGGAGCAAGAATTTCCATACAGTGTAAGGAGATGGAGGAAAAACAAACACTAAGAAATAATTCCACCAAAAGGATGAAATACTTCATCTTCACCTGGCTGAAGACTGAATTACTACAAGAAAAATGCTTCCAACATCTGTACCCTCACGTGAGTGGCGGCTGGACTTGTCCTGTGGTTTGCAGTGATGCACACCACCGCAGCCTAGTGAAGGCCGGATAGACTCCGCATGGCTCAAAACCGAGTTCAGGGTAACATGAAAATGGGAGGGAGGTTGTGACAGCTTAGAATTAACCAGGACTGGAAAAGGGATGACATCTCTCATCAGAACGACTCCAAACCTGCCCTTGCGGCCTAATTCCTAGGTCAGATCCATAAGGAGGAGGAAACTAGTCATAAAAGCATCGCGTTTCATTTACTCTCCAGCTGGGCTAAAATTCCAAGATAACCAGACTTCAGAATGCTGCTCCTGTTGGAGTCATCCCACAGCCCCTGCCCTGCTCCTTGAGCTGCAATTCTCCACCCACCCACTGAAAACAAGTTGCAGCATCAAGAGTGTCGGAGCGACGGCCCAGCGCAGGGCCGGGCAGCGCGGGAGCCCCAGGAGCTGCAGGCCACGAGCCCAGAGCCCAGGCCGTGCCCCACTGCCAGCAGCAGTGATGGAGACAACTCCTTCACAAGCCCTTCTGACCGCCTGAGGGCTCAGGTTACCCACACAGCTTCCAAAAGTAATATCACCCAGAATAGCGCAAATGTCATAAAATACACGTAGTAATAACAACATAAAAAGTCTTTCCTTGTCACCTTCTCCTTTCAGCAGACTTTGTCAGCCTGCTGCTTGTCCTTTTTCCAAATGATTACAAACTCCACTAACATTCCTCTTTCTCTGGTTCTGTCTTCAATCAGCCACTCATGCACAACACAAACGCTCTTTCCTTATTCCTCAACAACTTTTCTTCAAGAACTTCAGCAAGAGCCTTTTCTAAAGGCTGTAAGACACTGAAGGTACCATGCCAACCTGCTCTCGTGATCACTGGCTCCCAAAAACACTTCCACCGGGCTTCCAAGGCATGACTTTCCTCTTCAGAAAGCCACACTCGCTCCCCCTGGTTGTACTTGGCTGTACATCTGTAATCCTGCTCTTTACTGAAGTTTCAACCAACCAGTCTGTTTTTAAAGTCAGATTGCTATTCTGCTCTCTGAAGCCCTCCAGGAGTCTTTAAACAAAAAAAGAAGTCATCACATTTTCCACCCTTCGTTTCTCCAGCACTGACGCCAGTTTCAGCATTAGGTCACACGTCACTGCTTGTCACTTCAGAGCTTTATATCTCATTTCTTTAAAACTCTTGAACAAAGAGTATCTGGAAAGAATTCTAAGCAACAGGCCCTTGTGTCGGTTTGCTCTAAAACATCCACTGGAGGTTCGGCTGGGAGAGGTTCCTGCAGCTGGTGCTGCTTCCCTGCCCCCAAGCAGATCTCCACACATTTCCATTCCAGGCACCCAGACGAAGCCAGGCAGCCTTTGGCTGTTACCTCCTGCTCTTTTTGTACTTCAAACATCTATTCTCCTTCACATCCTGTGTCCCTTTTCTTTCTTCTGATTTTAGAGAAGTTTTTAATAGCTTTATGTCTTTAGCAAACTGCCTCAGAATTTTATTTGGCTGCCTTACTCTGGTGTTACATTTTGATGTTCAAGAGTTCCAGCTCCTCTCCGGTTTTCTCACTGAGTTGAGACACATATTTAAAGTCTCACTGCTTCCTCTAGCTTTTACCAGTGCTTTCCTACACCTACCCAAAGAACCACGGGGCAGAGATAACAGCCTGTACCCGGACACCAACACTGCTGCTGTAGCTCTGGGCGCAACTTTGCTTCTCTGCCTGCTAAAGCCTGCTGCTGTGCTGGTCCAGGATGACAAACCCATGGTGTTCTCCAACTGGTCTCAAGCTTGCCTTTACACTAGGACTTTACACGGGGTTCTGTAGTGCTAAGCCAGAAACATGGCTAAGCACAGTCTCAAAAAATCAAATGCCCAATAAGTAGATTCATCCTCCATCCTCAAAAAAGCCTCCCGTTTGTGTAGAAGTCCACAATGCATACATATATTTCCAAATTAAAACCTAAGGACAGATCCCCACAGCACAGAGCTCCCCGCACAGCAGCGTTACCTTCTTGAAGAGCCTGATGACATCCTCGCTGATCTGCGACAGCCGCACGATGACATTGTTTGTGAAGATGTCGTTCAGGGTGGCGTGATCCCTGCTCTCCCGACGGGTCTGCGTCAGCACCAGGTACCAGCAGTTCACTGGGGAGAGGAGGTGCTGATCCTTCCTAGGGGAATAAAAAAAAAAAGCAGAAGGGTGAATGGGACAAGTCAGGAAGGCACGCAGTTTTCCAGTGAATGCTGTCAGCCCTTTAACAGCACCTTCTTGCACAGCACACACCAGCTGGAATTTGGCATGGTCCGGAGCACAGCCTTCAGTGCTGACATTCTGCACGCCTGCACCCACTGCTCAGTACTCATGGTATTGGGAGGGCAAGGCGGTCTGTGACAACAGTCTCCCAGTTTTCATTAATACCCACTGTTTGTCCCCAGACTGTGGGGACATGCTTGTCTTCTTGTCTCTTCCCTTTCCCTTTCCCATGTATTATACTTAGTATAAATGGCAAATAAAGTGAAGTGAAGTTTTCAAAACGACACATCTGAAACAGAGCATTTCCACTGCCCAACTGCGATGCACGGAGAGCCTCCAGACAAGGAGCTAACACAGCCAGCCCTAACAGTGCCAGCCCTCCGCCTGCACTGCCTCCCCAGTGACAGCGTTCCTGCAGAGCAGCACAGCAGCACACACTGCAGAGCTGACCCTGCCAGTGCCTGAGCACTGCAAAGCAGCAGAAACTACTGTCACCTGCCGGCACCTCACAGCACGAGCACCTGTCCTACACGTAACGGAGCCGTGCCCCAGCACCCTTGGCAGCACCAAGGCACAGGCACCCTGCACAGCCTGCTGCCTCCCATCCTGGCCCTGCCCAGCTGCCCACCCCGCATCGCACGGCTGAGAGGCAGCATAAAACAGCAACTCCCTGTGAGCAGAGTTCTGTGCGAGTCAACTACAAACCCCTGCTCACCAGAGAGACCGAGTAAACAGATTAAATGGGATTTACTAATATGGAATAAATAGGATTTAGTAATGTAACAGCAGAAATTGCTGTTCTTGCAGTTGAAACGGGAAAAAATAATCACAGGAGGTTATAGAGCGAGAAGAGTCGGGGATTAGTGAGGCTAAGTGCACCTAACAGGCAAAACCTCCACTTCCTAGGAAAATGGCCACGTTCACTGGCCTATGGATTGAATGACACCTGGTTCATCTTCAGCAAAAGGCACGAGCTCCCCACTGAATTCAGGGACACAGCCATCAGAGATGAGTGCTCTGGGAGACCAAGGCGAGGAACGTCAGCTCGGTGCAGGGATGGCTGTGTGGTGCCAGCACACAGGGCCACTGCACAGCAGCACTGCTCCCAGGACCCCCAGCTCCATCCCCTGTAGGCACACAGAACGTCCCCTCCTCAAGTTCTTTTTTTGCTTGTTTTGTTTTTTAATTTATCTTGTTCCATCCATATTTGAGAGTATGCTTATTCTCAAGAGAGGCTGCTGTTGGAAACTTGCACATATTCACACATTCAAGGATCCTTCAGTTTTCACCATGAGTTTGAGTTTCACACTATTCCAGATTCAGTTTGTACTTCCTATTGCAAAACTTTGTTTTAAAATATTTACACAGAAAACATACATATTTCATTTTTAAGGAGCATAATAAATTACATTTCCACAAGCTGCTCCCAAGCCAGAAAGCAGCTCTATCACAGCGTGGTGCATTCTGACACCGACAGACCAAAAGGGCCGGCGCTGTGCGCACCACCAAACCCACAGATGGACCTGGGCCTCCCACAGAACAACGCCAGGGCTGCACAGCTCCTCAGCCAGACCTCAGCTTTTGTTCTACCGCTCAAAGCAGCGCGCAGCAAATCCCATCCCAGCAGGAAAGGTGTGTGATGCTGCTGGCTCTTTGTGAACTCCACACCGTGGTGACACGGACAAGGGCCAACGCTACTCAGTTTAATGCACTTTCGGACTCTGCAACTACAGAAACCCGCTCAAGCCCAGTGCTCAGCTCCCCTCCACCCTGTGATGCCCACTTACTTGAACTGGTGCTCACGGGAGCCGCGGATCTTGGAGGAGAAGCGCTCGGCCAGCTTCTCCAGGCTGCGGGAGTACTCCAGCTCGATCTCGGCCTTCCTGCGGAAGAACTCCTGCAGGTCCTGCAGCAGCTGCAGGCGCGACTCCGACTGCTGCTCCAGGCATTTGAACTGCTCCACCAGCTGTGTGCGGATCTCTGGGGACGCACAAGGGAGAAAAAACAGGGTAAGTTACAGCTACACGCAGAGGGCCATCCGAGTGCCTGGAGCAAGTCCCCCTCAATTCAAAGTGCAACAAAGCAAACAGAACAAGAACCGGAAAATCGCATTCACCAGTCTCACATCAAAAACTTTTTTTGTCAAAATAATCATCTACGTAAGCACACCGAACCTGACCTGCAGAGCTGTCTGGTTGCCGCTCTGAAGGTCAGTGATGCTCTCATTTTATCCACGCCTGCCTGTGGAACACTTTGCTCATGAGTGGCCCCAGTGCAGCAGCAGCCTGCAGGGCTCAGAGCCCCATGGCCACGGCACTGCGCCGTCCTGCCCAACCCTTACTCCACACTGAACACTGAACTGATAATTTCTTGATCAGTAACCACACAAGGCACCAACGGAAATCAGAGATGAGTCACAGACAGTTCTGAGCTCCTTCACTGAGCAAGGATCCCACACAGAGGAGATTCCAGCTGCCACTGTAGGCACTGTTGTTTATCAGCATCTCCTCCTGATAGGAAACACAGGGCCTGTCAGAGCCTGCCAGGTGAGCTTTGAGGTGTGAACAAGGACACCTGCATCAACCTCATCACTGCTTAACTGGACAGCAGCACTAACAGGACCAGAGGCTGCACGAAGGTCACCTAAAAATACGAAGCACCTTGGAAACAGCGAGTGTGCTGACAAGGCTCTGCAGAGGCCACGCAGGTGGGCAGGGCAGCTCTGCTCCCTCAGGAGCTGGCGCTGGGGGACCCCAGGGACAGCCACACAGCGCCAGCAGGTGGGGCAGGACAGCACACGGGGCAACGCCGGCTGGTGTGCAGCGCTGCTCCAGGATCCACCAGGCGCTGCTGCTGCCACCCACCAGCACTGCTGGGCAAGGAGCAGCTGCCTTGAATTAAGCCTCCTAAAAACCCCCAGTATGTTCCCACAGGACGCAGTACCAGTTCCTAACAAACCGCTGTTAAAGCTTTCACACTCCGTGTTGATGAGAGCTTCGTTCCCACACAAGGTCAGTGGAAGTTCCATTACATCCCGCATGGATTTCACACTCCCACTCCCACTGCTGCCAATGCGGGACTTGCTTCGCAGCTCTCTGCTCTGCTGAGCCCATTTGGTAGAGGTTTGTTTTTGTGTTGTTTTTCTTCTTTTTTTTTTAAACACAATTCTGATCCCTAGCTCACTTCATAGAGAATTACAGCCTGAGGTGCTTTCTTGAACAGCTCTTAACAGATATGGCAACGCGCAGAGATACGAAGAATACCAACAAAGCTTCTCCAATCTCTTCCATTCCCTCTCTTGCTACTTTTCCCCCGGTCTGAGCTCTGCGGCCCATTCCGCCGTTAGTCCTGACACCGACACCTGCCCACAGCTCCAGCACAGCACAGGCACTGACGGAGCACCGCCAAGCACATGGCACAGGGCAGCCACCTGCAGCCACCACACGGAGCCCAGCAGGACACCGGCCTGCAGGGGTGTTGCTGCATTCTACATGTGAAAGGTTCACAGCAAAAAACAAAATTAAGGGTTGGGCTGGAATTAATGCAGGAGAAAGCAAAGCATGCCAGAAACTCGTACGGCTGGTCCCATTTCCACACGAGCTGGTCTGACTCAAAATACACAAAAACACAGCGCCAATTAACCCCCAGATGAGCTGTTCTGCAACCAGTGCGCAACACAGTTCCTCAAGTTCCCTCAAACTCTGCTGGGCAATCAGCTTTCGCCATTTGCTGCTTTTCTTTCCAGTTTTGTTTGGTCCTTTTTATATGAAAGTAGTTTCCAGTAGGAGCACTCCTGCTATTTACAATGCAGGATGAGAGGCAGAAAATTATTTCCTCGGCTCTGCTGAAATGCAGCAGCAGGGATATTGGAGAAAACAAAATTCCTTGGCAAACAAAGGCCCTGCAGCAGCACACGGGATGAACGGCAGGACCCTGCTGAGACACAGAGCAGCTGCACCCAGTGGTTTGGGGACCGCTCCCCTGCCCTCGGGGCAGCAGGCACTGCACAGGTGGTGCTCAGAGCGCTGGCTGTGGGCCTCCAGATCCCAGAGCACAGCCAGCCCTGCGTACAGTGGGGCTGCAGGCAGAGACCCACCGGCGTGCCACCAAAGGGTGCAGCAAGGCGCTCCTCTGCCTTTCTCCAGGCTCCAGAGCAGTGGTGGCTGATGCAGACACGTTGGCCAGCAGATCAGGGTGAACCTCATTTTTTCCTATCTTGGATTGCTCGTCTCACCCCTTCCCCAGCGAGGACAATACTGGCAGGACACACAGCCAGAGCACGACTACATGCCTTCAAATAGCAAACCTCTGACTGCACGGATGATGCAGTACTTCACAAAGAACAAAACTCTTTGGGACTAACTGTGGCCAATTTGAGCCCTCGTTTCACCAGCAACATGCTTGTGTGGAGAGGTCAGGATGAACCCGGCACGCTCGGTTCCAGCTCAGCATTAACGTGTTGCTGCTCAACCAGCTCCACCCACACTTCGCCGAGGTTTATTTTCCATATGGTTTCATCTCTCTAAAATCTAACCTTAGATGATTGCCACCAGTACAGCACAGCCTTTACCAGAGGTATCTGTTCTTATGAGCTCCTTATTGTTTGTGTCCTTATGTAGTTGAAATATTCTCCTGGGCACAAGAAACTCCGAGTTTCAGACATTCACAGACGTCACATTGAAATCCCAGCCCCAGCTGAGACAGTGGCAAAGCTCCCACTGAGCTCCGCACAGCAAACTCCATCCCTCAGCAGCGCACAGCAACACGGCAGCGCTCTCCAGAGGCACTTACACAGGCCTGTCCCTCTCCCAGTAACCCCTGGCTCCAGTGCCC